GGGCCCTGCTCCTGTGCCCCTGCCTCGTCTACGGGGCCTACGTCTTCCTGCCTTTTGATGCCCCGCCGCTGCCCACTATCAGCACCCGTCTGGTCTACACGCTCCGCTGTGCCGCCTTTGCCACGTTCCCCATCGTTCTGGGTGAGCCATGGGTCGGTGTACAAAGCCCTTTGCCCCCCACCGCTGGGCTGCATTAGCCCCGGGGCAGCAGGAGCTGTGGGGTGCGATGAGCAGAGCCAGGGCTGAGCTCTTTGCAGCTCCGTTGCTCCCACCAGGAGCAGCAGAGTGAGTTGTCCTACCCTCTTCCCACCCCATCGCATCTCTCTGGTCCCGTCCCAGCCCTTTGTTCCCAACGCAGTTTCACTGGGCACCTGCTCAGCTCCTCTCTCTGCCCCCACCAGGCATGATCGTCAGCGGCATCTCCCGCCTCTGCTCCTCCGCACTGGAGCCCTTCGGGGACCTGCAACGGGAGGTGGAGATCCACCGCACCTACGTCTCCCAGTCTGTCCATCTCTTCATCCTCTACTTCTTCAACATGGCTGTGCTGGCAACTTACCTCCCACAGGAGGTCCTCAAGCTCATCCCTCTGCTCACGGGGCTTTTCGCCATCTCCCGGTAAGTGGCTCCTTTACCTTTTACCCGAGCTGTGGCAGTGCCCAGGGTGCAAACGGGGTCTGTCGGTGCAACACCACGGCTCAGTGCACACTCCCATTCCAGCAGTGCCTCACCTGGCCAACGACATCCAGGAATGCTGGCACAGGGGAAGGCTTGCTCCATCCCTCAGCCTGCTTCCCGCAACGGCCGCGCCTGGCAAACTCTCGCTGGGGTCAGAACCCCTGCGCAAAGCTGGGTGCCGCCCCCAGGGCATCGCCCTCACTGAGCTCACACCTCTCTGTCCTCTCCAGGTTGATTTACTGGCTGTCATATGCCATCGGACGCTCCTTCCGTGCCTTCGGCTTCAGCATGACCTTCCTGCCCCTCCTGGCCATGCTGCTCTGGAACCTTTACAGCATGTTCATCCTGGAGCCCGAAAACCTCCTTGCTGTGGCAGCGCCAAAGCCCGAGGACCGCTCCAAGGACACTGGGACCAAACTCCGGTTCTGGGGGTGAGGGAGGGCCCCGGGAGATGGGGTGCCTGGACACAGCGGTGCAGAGGGGCTCAGCCCTCCTCACTGCCCTGCCTTGTGAGCCCTGAAGGTGGAGGCAGATCTGGCCGGGCCCCTGCTCCCTGCCCGGACCCGGCAAGGTTTTGCGCCCGGGGTTGATAGAGCTAAGCTGGAAAACCCTCTGCACTGGGAGTTTCCTGCAGGAGGGCGAACAGGGCCCAGAGCAAGACCCAGTGAGCCCTGTGCCATGAGGATGGGTTGGGGTTTGCCTAACCTCCTGCTGGAGCTGGCTTTGCCCAATAAAGCCCTTCACCAAGCGGCTCTGTGGCTGGTTTGGGGACGGTGGGTTAAATTCCCCTAGGAATCGCTGCTGCCAGGACTTGTAGCTTCGCCCGTGGGATGCCATCATCCAGCCCCAAAATGGTGTTTCCAAGAGGGAAAAAAATGTTTCCCCAAACCATCCGTCTCCCAGCGCTGCAGCAGCACCCCAGCCCTGCATCCTGCTTCTGGGTCCCTGCAGTGGCAGTGTGGTCAGTCCTGCCCAGCTTGTCCTTCCTCCTCTTCCTCCTCTTCCTCCTGGTGGAGGTTCAGCACCTCGTTCACAAACCGGTTGACTCGGTAGGAGGGAAGGAGCCCTGCCCCAAGGGGGGATGCAGGGAGAAGCTGGGGAGAAGAAGACGGGTGAGATGGCACCAGCCTTGCCACTGCCTAGGGCTGGGGCTGGCCGATGCGCCCCAGGACTGGGGTACCCCTGCCTGCGCCCCTCAGAGCACCGGGCTCCACCTTGGAGTCCTCTGCAGACACAAAGGGACCTCTGGGAGTCCAGCCCCAGGCAAGTCTGACTGGCTCAGTTCTCTGATTCTCAGGCATAACCCAAAACAGTTAAAAACCCACCAAAGAAAGGGAAACCACCCTCCATCCCTAGGTCTGCCAAGTGTTTGGCTTGTCCAGCCTCCCATCCCTGAAGGCTGTATCATGGGAGCAGTTCACCCGCTGCAGCCCAGCCCAGTCAGAGAACGGGAACAGCCCAACTCTCCCAATGGACATCGCAGCAGGGATACGGCCCGCGGCCCAAGTTCACGCTGACCCCACGGCTCACAAGCAAAACCAGCCCAGAGCACCACACGCTGCTGTGGGGCACAAGTCAATCCAGGGGCAGGGAGCCTCCCTCTTCTCAGGGGTGTGTTTTGGTACCTTGGCTCCTGCTGAGTTCCAGCACCCTTTAATTCCTGCAAGGCCCAAGAGCTGCTCTCCTCGTGCTCACCTGTAGTGTTTCCACAGGAAAACGCTCTTAGAAATCCACTTTATTTGGTCAAAGACAAATCCGTGATGGAGAACACAAAAACCCAGCACACCCCCAAGTGACGTAGCGCGTCTGGAAACGCCAAGCAGCCACAGACCGCGCTTGCCCCGTGGCTTCGAGCACCTGGATAGCGTCTCCAAGCCATCCCTGCAGAACCAAGGGCTGCAGTTAACTGAGAAAAAAGCTTGATCGGCTCTTCATGGGCTGACAGGACGTACCTGAGCTCAAGCAGCTGATGCAAAGCGGCACTGGCTTTCCCTCTTGTACCAGCAGCCCTCACTGAGGCCAGCACAGCAAAAAGTGCCTCTTGGGGACTGAGGAGTCCGTGAGCCCCAGCTGGGTTAGGGGGGCTGTTCTGGGATGCCCCCAGCACAGCGAGAAGCAGCAAGGCACCCTGGCAGGAGCAGTACTGGTCCCCAGCCCCGTTCTCCACCCCTGCTCCTGGGTTGGAGCCACCCAAGCAACCCTGGAGCGCTCTGGAAGTGGCACAGGACAGGGCACAGCCGGTCCCAGCTGTTGCCTGGCTGCAGACAGAACAACAGTGGTTTTATCCCTTGGGAGAAGGAGGATCTTTCCGCAGCTCAAGGCAACCCTGATCAACTTCCCCCGGTCCCTTCCCTTGGCTGGATGGATCAGGAAAAAAACAGAGGAAGAAGTGTAATCAGATGCAGGATCTGGGCAGTAGAAGGGAGCAGGACAGACGGACAGGCGATGTGGACAACTGCTGCGAATGTTGCCCTGGTGCCCTCTGAGCCTGGACTGCAGGGATGGAGGGGAGGACAGAGAGGAGCTTGCAGGCATTGGAGCCCCTGCAGCAGCCACAGTCGTTTCCTGGCTACAAGAAGGATCCTGGGGTCTCTCCAGGGACCGTCCCGCTCAGTTGATGGGCTCATACTCAGAGTAGCGTTTCCTCTGGACAAAGAGAACCACACAGCTGCCCACCAGGAGCATCACCATGGGGGTACCCAGAGCCACGGCCACGATGGAGATGACGAGCGGGGAGAAGGTGTCCTCAGGGGGCTGCCCGAAGCCCAGCAGCGCCGACCTACAGGAGAGGACGAGACAAGTCAGCAATGGAGATGGGGATCAACTGTGTCCCACAGGTGGAATATCTGGGGCTTCCAACCCCAACAGGGTCAGATCAAGATTCCTTGGCAGAATTGAGTCTCCCAGACTGGGCGAGGGAACGCATCAATAAACTACAAAACTCCTTGCTACAGGATCATAGGAAAACACAGACTTTTGTCCGTGTTTGATAGGAGACAGTTATTAAACAGAGAAACCCTCTAACCTAGCAGTTCCCCATACGGCAAGTTATTCGTGGCTGGGAGAGCATCATTTCACGCACAACAGACCCCACTCACCAGCTAAGATAGCGCTTCTCCTGGTAAACCTTTCCGTCCTCTCCCCCAAAAGAGATATTGATCGCGCTGATGGTGTAGGTGCTGCCTACACCCTCCCCAAAGTAGGCGTGGACAATGCTGGACACGGGCAGGGTCCAGTTGGCTGCTTGCAGGCCGTGAGACCGGCACTGGATGCTGTCCTCGCGCCTGGGGGTCTGGGAGCCGTAGGCTGTTGCCTTCCACTGCAGGAAGCTGAGCGTGGAGCTGCCGTTTTGGGACTGGGCTACCAGGGAGAGCGTCTGGTGGAGGGAGAGCGACGGGCAGTGAAGTGAGGGCAGGAGATGGTCTTCATGCCAGGGTGAGCCATAGCAGGGAGCCACAGGTCGCCTGGGCTGCTTGCCCCAGATCCCACTCACCCTTGTTCCCACAGCGGGGGACGTCCCCGAGCCCAGCGCTCACCCCACGCTCACCTCAAAGATGGTGGGAGTGTACTCATCATCGATGGAGCGTGCCGAGCGCAGCTTCTGCACCACCCCCGTCTCCTCCACCGTGGCCACCTCCAGTGCAAATCGGGAGCTGTTGCCCCGCGGAGCCACCCCAGCCAGGACGAACTCCACTTTAGAGCTGTCTGCGGTGTGCAGGAGGCTGGGCAGGGGCCCGTCACGGCCGTTGGCCTCGTAGGCTGTCACCTGCAGAAGACACAGGTCAGAGGGACAGCGTGATCGCTGGCCGGGACACCAAGGGGCAACGTTCCCTCTCTAGAAGGTGCTTTGGACGGGATATTGACTGTGTTCTCCTTACAGCGTCCCAGCGCAGCTATACCCCCCCTCTGCCCACGCGGACTCCCCTGCCCGCGGGGACTTCCGGGAACCGCCGGCCGGCCGTTGGAGAAGCTGCCACTGGGGCCAGTGGCTGGGATGCCCGTGAACTCGGCCGTCAGGGCCGTGTGGTTCAGGGTGCGATTGACGCTGTCCCAGGAAAAGTCAGACAGGTCGTACGTGGGGTAGAAGAGCTCTTCCAGTGTTTTGGCCTCGCTGTACTCAAACACCTAGGGAGAAGGAAGGGGAGAGGGGCTGGGAGCCACCAGCGGGTGCTGTGGACACCACTGCTTTGTGCGACGGTCCAGGGGTTCTGCGCACCAGGCTGCCGCTGCCACCAGGGAGAGGAAGGAGACCAAAACGGAGCTGCCTTGGCCGAACATCTCAAGGCACCGCCACAGCTCAAGCCGGAGACAATCAGGGAAGG